GGGCAACCAGCAGCTGCCCCGCCGCGCGTAGCTGTGCCAGGCGGCCGGACACTTGACTCTGCAGCGACATGAGCAGGCGGTGCCGGGCGGCTCTCCGCCCACTCGGACTCTATTTACGGTGCTCAGGAGAGTCGGGCTCGGTCGCTTATTTACTCTGGGACGAGAGTGGCGCGTGCCAGCTCGTGGCGACCTGCTTAGAGACCGCGGGCGGCGCGCCGCTGGGCACTCTGGAACTTGTAGTCCCGGTCCGACACACTGCACTCACGCACTTGTATACACACGTGCGCACTCAGCCTGTCTGTGTCCTCCGGGAGCGGCCGCAGCCAACCTCCTGAAGCTCTTTTCTCGTTCTTTCCGCCGAGCTGCCCTGGCTCAGTACTCAACTCTGTCCCTAACGCATGCTTTGTAGGCAGAGAGGGACCTGGGCTTGTCTCGCCGCCACTACGCTTCACGCAGCTCCGCGTCAGGTCCACCAGAGCCGCAGGTTACAGTCCACCAAGGGAAGGGGATAGGTGCGGCAGACCAATTTGTCAGGTTGGACTGCTTCTCCCGAGCCAGGCAGAAGAGCTAAGGCTCCCCGGAAGCTCCAGAGGCGAAGCGGCGCCTACTGAATTTCAGAGCAACCAAGGCACTAGTGAGATTTGAAAGTCAGAAACTTTGATGCCAGCCCGGTGTGATGTTGCACACCTGTAATTCCAGCATTCGGGAGGCAGAGGCCGGAGGATTTTAGGAAAGTTTAAGGCCAGCCTGACTACGGTGCAGCCCCATAGCTAGACCCTGTCTCAGTCAATCGGTCGATCCATCGATCCATCAATGAATATAAAAAAGAAAAGAGAAAGAAAAATAAAATAAGATAAAATAAAATCTGGGTACCTAGGAGCACTATCTGGTCAACTAACTAGGGTAATTTTTTTTCCCCTAAAGACACATATCTGTGGGGCTGGAGAGATGGCTCATCTGTTAAAGAGCACTGACTGCTCTTCCAGAGGACTGGGTTAAAATCCCAGCCCTCACATGGCAATTTAAAACTGTCTGTAACTCCAAGATCTGACACTGTTGTGGGATATTTGTACACTGTGAAACTGTGATTGATGTAATAAAAAGCTAAACGGCCAATAGCTAGACTGGAGGTATAGGCAGGATTTCCAGGGAGAGAAAGGAAGAGGAGATGAGGCCGCAAAAGATGCCATCGAGACTCAGAACGAGTCAGACACACAGTGGAAGAGGGAGAAAATTCACATGGCAGAACATAGATTAATTTAAGTTATAAGAGCTAGTGGTACAAATCTAAGCTAAAGGCCAAGATTTCATAATTAATAAGTCTCCGTGTCATTTGTGAGCTGGTGGCCCAAAAGAAAAATACAACTACATGACTCCTTCACACAGACATACATGCAGGCAAAACACCAATGCACATAAAATAATAAATAAAAAAAGAGATATGCCTGTAATCCCAACATTCCAGAGGCCGAGGAGAGGCAAGAGGATCAGGAGTTAGCCACTCCTTCATATTCAGTCGTGCACCAGCCTTGCCCACTTGAAAGCTTCTTGTCAGTGCACCCCGTGAGACTCTGGGTTTTGTTTTTGTTTATTTGGTTGTTTTTATTTTTAAAAAAAGAAAAGAAAAAAAAAGATTTAAACCCTGGGGCTTGAGAGAGAACTCAGTCACTGACAGCACTGGCTCCAGAGGACCAGAAGTCCATTTCCAGTGCTCACATGGTAGTTCAAAACTATCCGTAACTCCAGTTCCAAGGGTACCACACTCTCTTCTGGCCTCCTCGGGCACCAGGCATGAAAGTGGTGCACAGACATACATGCAGGAAAACATCCAAACTCATAATTTTTTTTTCAAATTGTTATTGTGTGCCTTAATGGCTGAGCCATCTCTCTAAGCCTTTCTCCTAAAATTTTACAAATAAAGATTTAGATCCTGGAAAACAAAACAAAAAGGAGAGAAAGAACAAAGTGAACGATCATCCTGTTGAAAAGTCACCACAAATCTGGCAGCTTAAGGCAGATTCGTCATCTTAAATTCTGGGAGACAAGAATCTGGCGGGAGTCACCAGAATTACATGCTGCTGGCTTCATTCCTTCCTGGAAGCTCTAAGGAAGCTTGCCCCAGGACTTTCCAGCTGCCAGAGGTCACATGGCCCTTCCGGTAGCCCCTTTCTGTATCCTGGCAGTGAGCCCAGGCTTCTCTTGTCTTTCCTGTAGTGAGGGCCTTGCTCTCTGGTTCTGCTGGCTTCCTCTACCATTTTCCAGGCTGTGATTTCACTGGCCCCATCCACATCCAGGAAAAAGTCATTGCTTGCCCATGATCAGCTGGTTTGAAGCCTTAGTTTCCCTTTGCCAGGGGTCATATTCACAGGCTTCAGAGTTTAGGATGTGGGCAGCTTGAAGGGCCTTCACATTGCCCTCCAGCCTTCCTTCCGATCAAAGCCTGGGTAGGGCACTCTGGGAAAAGGTACAAAAGACATTCTGGTTACTAAGGAGAAGGCTGAAATCCATGTCCCTTGGGGCTGAGCCCCTGGAGCTCTCTGGCTGAGCCAGAGCCCCACCGCCACGCTGCCTGCTATTGCACACTTTAAAGCCCTGATTCTTTTTTTTCCTTTTTTTAATTGAAAATAGCTTTTTTCATTACACACACACACACACACACACACACACACACACACACACACACATTTTTATGGAGACAGGGTTTCTCATTGTAGCCCTACATACAATATATTCTTATTACAATTTCCCCTTCCCCAGCTCCTCCCAGATCCTCCCTGACTCTTCACCCACCCACATCCAAACCCTTTCTTTCTCTCTCTCATTAGAATACAGTCATCTAAAAAATAATAAAATAAGATAAAATAAAAACAAACAAACTAGAACAGGAACAAACAAATAAACTACTAGGAGAAAAAGAAAGAAAGAGCACAAGAAACATATATAGATGCAAAGACATACATGTTCACACACACACAAAAATTCCGTAAAAACACAACATGAGGAACCATAATATATACACAAAAGATCTGTAAGGGAAGGCAAAAAAGAGAATAATAAATAACCCAGGCAATCTCCTGCTGAGCCCAGCAGTGGTTTGTATGCCCAGTGAGACTCCACTGGAGAAAACTTATTTTTCCTTTATGAACAGTTGTCAACTGGAGATGGCATCTAAGTTAGGGATGGGGTCTTGTGTCCATTTTCCCCTCAGAGCTGGGACCCCATCTCGCTGAGACTCATGCAAGCCCTGTGCATGTTGCCAGTCTCTGATCACATGTGTGTCGTCCTGCTATGATCACATGTTGGCCAGGCATGGTGGAACACGCCTTTAATCCCAGCACTTGGGAGGCAGAGGCAGGTAGATCTCTGTGAGTTTAAGGCCAGCCTGGTCTACAGAGAAACCCTGTCTCAAAGAAACAAAATAAAACAAAACAAAAAAGATAGAAGGCCTTGTTTCCTTGGTGTTCCATTTTTCCTCTGGCTCTTACAATCTTTCTGCCTCCTCTTTTACAAGGTATCATAGGTTTCTCTGAGCCCTGTGGGGAAAGATTTGATGGACACTCTAGTTAGGACTGAGCATCCATGGTCTCTTACTCTTTGTACATTGTCTGGCTGTGTGTCTCTGTTTTTGATCCCATCTACTGGCTATGCTGAAACTAACTCTGTAGGCCAGGCTAGCCTTGAACTCCACACCAGATTTATACTGTTCTTGGGAGAGATAACTCAAGGTTTTCTGCACAGTGGGCAAATACTCTCCTAAACTATATCCTAATCCCCAGCCTGGAACTCTCTGTAGAGGTAGCCAAGGATGACTTTAAACCTCTGATCCTCCTGACTCCACCTCCCAAATACAGCTATTATGGAAATAGCTGTGTACTGGGGGCAGAAGCAGAGGCTTGGAAGTCTCCCAAACGTTGAGTCCTCCAGGGGGACATGTAGTGTAGGGTGTTGTCTACTGAGGACTGACTGACGCTGAGTCCTTCAGTGGGACCACAGTGTAGGGAGGGTGTTGTCGGCTGAGGACTGACTGTTGGAAAAAGGCTTTCATATACAGAGAGCTTCCTACCACTGCTTGTGTTTAAAGTAATGCTGTTTATTAAAATGTTGGCATTTAAAACGAACTTGTTTTTCTTAAACATCCAAGTGCATCTTGCAAGGCTAATATTTTCTACTTATAAATCTACCAATATTTATAAAAATAAGAACAATTGCTTCACTATTCTTTGATTAATATTTAATTAACTCATAAGTTCTGCAGATTAGCTTCTTCTTAAAAAAATGAATGCCAATTATAAACACAGGTATTTAAATTCCCTAATAGATTTTTTAAAACTACATTTCACTGAACCGAAATATAGTCGTTGGGGCCAGGTTGGTGGTGGTGGCACATGCTTTTAATCCTAGCACTCTGGAGGCAGAGGCAGGCAGATCTCTGTGATCCTGGTCTACAAGAGCTAGTTCTAGGTCAGACTCCAAAACTTAAGTGAAACCCTGTCTCAAAAAAACCAAAAAAAAAAAAAAAGGAAATATAATAGTTGGAGGCTGGAGGCTGGTGTAGTGGCACACTTTATTCCCAATACAAAGG